GATGCTAATTTATTTAACTTAGGGTTCGTTTGGTTTAATAATGATAGAGAGGGAAACATTTGGTTTAATAATGATAGAGAGGGAAACATATGAAGCGAACAGTGTAATAGAATAGTTAAGGTAATAGAATGAATTAATATATTAGTACATAATCATGTTCATTGGCTAGTAAGAATTGGGGTGGCAATACTCGACCCAACACTGACCCAACACGAAAATAAACGGGTTTGGATTGAGATTTTTGACCCGTCAACCTATTTATTTCATGGGTTGGGTTGGGTTACCTGTTTGGGTTCGCGAGCAAGGACGGTTCCACTATGGTGCCCATAGTGGCACCGGCAACCCCTTATTTTTTCGGATACAGTGTAAAAAATTTCGAATTTTTCGTTTTTTCTACATTTGTGTCACTACGTAAAAGGAAAAATATGACACCGGCAACACCTACTACGAAATCCTGGGTCCGTCCCTGTTCGCAGGTCAACCCGCCGACCCGATTATATATATATATATATATATATATATATATATATATATATATATATATATATATATATATATCTGTGTATGTGTGTGTGTTTAAAGAATATATTTAATTATTTATTAGTTTTGAATATTTGATTATCGTTTAATCATTTTCTGAATTCCAAAACTGCAAAACATCTTCGAGTTGAATTAGTGTGTCTTAGCCCCTAATCAAAAAGAAATTTAGTCTTCAGTCTTCAAACTCACAAATTCATGTCTCTCGTCTCCGTCGATTGAGGCATCGAATCATCGATTGTCGCACTACCACACGCACACCATTCGTCTTCTCGTCCTCCGTCTGTCGCACATCACTCGTCGCCGTCACTCATGTTTATAACTCTATGTTGAATATTTAAGACTTTATGACTTCATTTTATTTGTATTTTTTAATTTCATTTTAAAATGTGTTGTTTATTAAATGGGTTATTTTTGGTTGAATTCGGCCCACTAACCCACAAACCCATATACTTATACGGGTTATATGGGTTGGGTTGGGTTGATGTTTTCAACCCGCCAACCCGTGACCCACCAACCCACCAACTCATATATTATATGGGTTGGGTCTGACAATGTATTCTGACCCGCCAACCCGTCAACCCATGACCTGCCAACCCGAATCCAACCTAATTGTCAGACCTAAGTAAAAATGATACGACACTTTACATGAATTTATATTTTTGTATAAATAAAATGTGCGGTTTTAGCTTTATAACTCTATATTATATATGAACTAATAAATTTCTTCTACAAAAATAAAAAAAATAATAATAGTTCATTAAACTTCAAATGAGATTATAATGAAAATACAATCTTTTATTATTTTTCAAAACGAGAATTTGTTTTTTAATTAAAATCATGTAAATTGGAGAAAAAAACACACAAATGAAAATAAGTTATATTAAAAAAAATATATCATTTCAATACGGAATAAAAAAAATTGAGCAAAGAATGAAAATTAACAAAAGAAAGAAATCATATTTTTTAAATAATCAAATATTATGACAAAACAAACATTTTTTTCATTAGAACAATGTTATTCTTTTCTTTATACTATCATATCAAACACAACACCTTAATTAGATTTTTACTCATTTAGCAAAGATAAAATTTTATGCAACCAAAATTATCATTTTTGAACCATGTGTCTAGTTCAATTTTACTACATACAAAAAGTCTGAATTGCCCCGAGCTTGGGTGTACATGCATTGCATATGCATAACACATGAAAACAAAAAATTGTAATTTTTTTATGAGAAAAAAAAAATGATCTTTTTGTTATTATACACCATACCCAAAAACTATTTCGTACAAGTTATGCCCTAATTCATATTTCTGGATCTGCTAGTAAAAATAAAGTGAATGCCTTAAGAATATTACAAAACCAAAGAAATCCCATGAACTAATGAAAAGAATAATACTTTTAGCTCAAATTCAAGACTTTATACATCGAAATCTCCTTCTTTATATTTAAACAAAATTGTTAGAAAAGAAGAAAAGCAATTTTGGTTTCTCTTCTTCAGCTATAATCATTAGTTCTGAGTCGGGTTTGAACCACTTGGTGGACTCTTCCTCAAACTAGCTTCTGCTAATGTTTCAGAGTCTTCCATGGCTGCACTAAGCTTATTAGGTGGATTTGCAGAAAGTGTGGTGAGAGAAGATGTCAGTAGTAGCTTTCTTGATTGAGCTCGATCTTTGACTGAAGTAATGTCATGTTGACCATGGCATAACAGCGATGATGATAACAAAATCAAAGAAAACAAAAGTACGAATACTTTGTAAGGCGCCATGGTTGATGAATGATGATTCTTGATAGTGTTGAAGAAAATGAGTTGATTCGTTCTTAAGAAAGATGGAAGAGGAAGACCATTTATTATTAGATGCAGCTTGTGCTAGAGTCTGACAAAGCATGCATGTGTAATGTTACCTATTACTAATATAATATGAAAATAAAGCATTGGAAAAGAAAGAAACAAGTGTAAAGTGTAGTCTCATAGAATCAAAGATTGTAAAAGTTTATACTTTTTGTGAACTAAATACGCGTTTTAGATCATTCACTTTACAACCTTTTCACGTAAAAAGAGAGCATTGGCATGGGCATGGCTCTTTCCCCACAAGCTCCTATTTTCTTTTCATGTGGATGTACTTCCTCTGTAAAGTGAGACCCCTTTTCATCCTCTTTCTAATTGATGATGAACTCATTCAATCTTTCGCTTCACCTCTTTTCTTCCTTGGATCATGTTAAAATGTATATGCATATGCAACTTAGAATGTTGTCCCGGAAAATATGCTAAAGAGCATCGATAGTCAATGTTTTAAAAATATGTTTTTTGGTTGAACTTGTCTGATGGTTGGTTTCCGATTCGACCGACTGTTCAACCCGGCTTCCATAATTTTTACGTATTTTCTATATATATATATATATATATATATATATATATATATATATATATATATATATATATATATATATATATATATATATATATATATATATATATATATATATATATATATATAACCAAGAATTTCCCTAAATCTAGTAGTCTTACACTCCGGTTAACTTTATTGATCGAGTTGTTCAATTTGCTTTGAAAATAAACCGCTAAGTGAAATTCAACCATCCGAGTCCAATAAACCGGTTCAAACGGTTTTTAAAGAAATCATCCGGTTCGATTCAGTCTACAAATTGGCATAAAACCAATCTTTGACTCTTTGTTGAACCGATCTCATCTCCGGTTTCCGGTCCAACCGGTTCAAACGACCGACTCGAACCAGTTTTTAAAACATTGTCTACAATGCATGAGAGAGTTTTTTCATTTAAAAAAAAAAAAAAAAAAAAAAAACCGTATAAGCTTATCCAAAATGGTTTTTTTAATGACAAACTATCATACTCCTAATCTAATTCTAAACTATCATACCAAAGGGCCAATGGCCTAGTAGTATGGAGTGATTATCTCATATGAGAGGTTATGAGAGGTTAGGGGTTCAAGTCTCGATGGAGACATAGGTGGTTATTTAGATTTTAGAGTAGATTAGTTAGTTTGTCATTTAAAAAAAAAAATCATCTATGTCTCCTAGTGAGATTTGAACACATGACCTCGCATTTGAAAGAGTCGCTCCTTACCGCTAGGCCAAAAGTCCTTTGGTCTAAAATGACTATTATTAGGAAGCTTTGGACCATAATCATATACATAGATGAATCAATTGTGATAAGTTTGACTAGAAATCGTCAAGAAAAAAAAATTTGTTTCATTAAAATTAAAAATAATTCCAATTCATGACGAAAAAAAAAATGAAAATTAACATAATGGAAGAAATCACTCATTCCATTGTATTTCGAAATGTTTAATGTCATTTTTTTCAATAAAATATCTGATTTTAAGTACCAATATCGCATTGTTTAACTTTTTGTATATTTAAGTCAAAAACAATTTTTTTCGAAATTCCAGAATCGTTTTTCTGATTTCGGACTTATTCTTGAAATTCCAGAGTTTTTTTTTTTTTTTGAAATCCAATTTTAGTCCGGAATCCAGAATATTAGTCCGAAATGTACTTTGTTGTCAAAAAAAAATTTCAGTCCAGAATATTAGAAGCCAACAATTTTACTTTTTTATACCTTTTGAGAAGGACTTAATTTCCTCAATCTTTATTTTCTTCTTTTTGAGACATTATACTTTGAAAAATCTTCCCAATTACAGGAGTGAAAATCGATTTGTATTATAGAAAAGAATCAAAAAGTACAAACATACATTGTGTTCCATGAATCAAACAACTAAACCTCCACTAATCATCCATCAATCTTGATAATTCTTTCTTCTTCCAAACAACATTTTCATAACCAAATAACTTCACAAAACAAGAAACCAACTGTTCTTGAACCACTTCTTCATCAGGAAGCACAATATCAGTCTCTTTTGCCAAAGATGTAACATCTTTATCAGCAATTCCACAAGGCACAATATGTTTAAAATAACTCAAATCAGGATCAATATTAAAAGCCAATCCATGTGATGTAATCCCAGATGAAATCCTAACTCCAATTGCACCAATCTTTCTTTCACCAACCCAAACCCCAGTCTCACATTTCCTTTGACCATGAGCTTTGACCCCATAAATAGAAGCTAGGTCAATCATGGTTGACTCAAGATTTTCAACATATTTCCTAGCTCCTAAACCGATTTCTCTTAAGGAAATAATAGGGTATAGAATGGCTTGATGAGGGCCATGAAATGTAATGTCGCCTCCCCTTTGAGTGTAGTGAAGTTCAGCGCCCATGGATTTAAGTTCAGATTCGGGAATAAGTAAGTTGTAATCTGTTCTACGTTTGCCTAGTGTGTATGTAGGTGGATGTTGTAAGGATAAAAGGGTATCAGAAATCTTACTGATTTTCCTATCGGAAGCTAGCTTTTCTTGCAATTTAAGGGCTTCTAAGTAATTGAGTGTCCCCAGTTTCCATACCTCAAGATTCCGAGGAATTCTCATTCCCTGATAAAAAGAATATCAGATTGAATTATCTCATAGCACATTTAAAGCTTGAATTCGTAGAAGGATATCTACTCATGTCTTGTTTAAATTTTTCGGATTTTAGTTTCCTAACTTTGATTTGGGTACAGAAGAATCACAGAATCACAGAAGCGAAACTCACTTTGGCATTATAACAAACAGGTTATGAGCACCAGTTTTCAATCTAAACGAAACGAAGAAGATTTGAAAAAGTGTAGATCTTTGGAAGATAAACAACTTTCGCAGCTCTTACGCATCAATTGATAATAGAATTGAAGAATAAAGCAAGGAAAAAAACGAAGATAGCAGGAAAAAAACAACACAGTGAATGTTTCTGTTTTACAACATTACGCATCAATTGATAAACTCAGTGAACCAACAAAGTATTCTAACATAAACCAGGGAAAAGAAGGAAGAATAAAGCTAGGGAAGCAGGGAAAAAACGAAGATAGCAGGAAAAATTGAACAAAAACGAACCTAGGAGTGGGGTCGACGGTCTCCAGTGTTGCTGTAGGGGTGCGACAGTCTCCGGCCGGTTGCTTCACAGGGGAGAAGGCGGCGACTGGGGAGGTCTCACGGAGGAAACGATCGACAGATGGAGACGTCTGTGATTGACTTTGCTCCAATGTAAAGCTATTTCTTGTGTAGAATTTCAGATATGTTCTTTCTTTATTGGAGCAAATAAAAAACAAATATCGAAGTCGTTGTAGTATAGTGGTAAGTATTTCCGCCTGTCACGCGGATGACCCGGGTTCGATCCCCGGCAACGGCGACGTCTATTGATAATATTTTTTTTCCTGGCGAAGGACCATAATGAATTAATAATAACAATAAATAAGACGAAAATGGAGAAGGCTGAGGGCCCAATGTTTATAGTACTTTAATCTGTTAAATCTTGATCTTTTAGTCATTTTTTCCAAAAAAAAAAAGTTGTAAAATATGAAGCATTTTTCGGAAAACCCTAAACAAAATAAAATAAAATAAACAAAGTTGATGGTTTACTTTGAGAAAAAAAAAAAAAATCAGAGAAAAAAACCGGTAAGATTTAATTCGAAAAAACACAAAATATAATATCTATTATAAAATCAACTCATTGTTTGACATGTGTATAATCCTCAAATAAGAAAAAATAATTAAATAACTCTAGTTAAAATATATAGGATAAAAACTAGCACTTTTCCTGCTACTTTGCGGCTTCTTGTTTCAAGTCCATATTTATGAGGTTTACAGATTCAAAAAACAAACGTTATCACAAGGGTCTAATGCTTACATACATACTTTTTTTTCTCTCTTAAGAGCAAACGTTACATTCTAACACCGATCTAAAATAATATCAAAATCCAAAAAACAAAGTCAAAAACTAACAAGTATAAAAACCAACTACATCTCCACAACAAACATAAACATACATACAACATATCCCCATTTGTAAATGTGCAAATGTTATATATCTACAACCACATTGCTCTCACTCATGAACACTTTTTCATTTTTATAAAAAAAAAAAAAATCTCACGAAGAGCAGGAGAGCATGCGGACACCTGGACGATAAGCCCATGCAGGAGGCAATCGCGCGTATTTTTCCATTCCAGGTTGCTCATCATACGGCCTTTCCATTACTTTAAGCAATCGCCTCACCTCATCAAAGTCCCCTTGTTCAGCCATGTCTATTGCACTTTGACAAAGATAGTTCCTCAATATATACTTTGGGTTCACTGAGTTCATTAAAGCTTTTCTTTCCTCATCTCCAACTCCACTAGCCAATAGCTGTTCATATTCATATCATCATTAAAGTAATCAAACAAATTACCAATCTATTTTTCTGTTTTATATTATGTCTCACTTACATCATTTTGTTTGACTTTTAGCTTAATGTACTTTGCAAATGGTTTGGTTTTGTACTTTTGTATTAAAAGGGAAATTTCAGGAAATTGCAACGTACCTTACTCTTTCTATCAATATAGGCAATGTACTTTATTTTACTCATAATAGCAATATACTTAGATTTCCTTAGCAATAATAAGCAACAAGTGGTGGTGAAAATTGTAAACTATAGGGGCCAAAACTAAAAACACCCGAACTTCAAAACTACAGGGACTAAAACTGTACTTAGATGAAAATTATAAACTACAGGTACCAAAAATGTAGCTATTGATATTAAAAACTACACGGACCAAAAATATAATTATTGGAATTAAAAACTATAGGGACCAAAAATGTAATATATGGAATTAAAAACTACAGTCTACAGGAACTAAAATTGTAATTATGGAAATTAAAAATACAGGGACCAAAATTGTAATTATCCTAGATTAAAACCTACATGGACCAAAACTGTATTTAATGCAAATTAAAAGCTATAGGAACCAAGTAACCAACACTCTGATTATTCAAATTAAATAGTACAAGGACCAAATCTGTAGTTATCCTAAATTAAAAACTACAGAGACCAAAACTAATTAATGTAAATTATAAACTACATGGACCAAAACTGTAACAAATAAAATTAAAAACTATAGGGACCAAAACTGTAATTAGATCATTTCCTGATATGAAAAATAAAATACATTGCTATTATGAATAAACAAATATAAGTAGGTTGCTATTGTGGGCAAAAAAGTAGGTAATAAAATAAATTGCTATTATTATTATAAACAAAAAAAAAATCAAAAGCACGTTGTTACTTATTATTTAACTTATTTAATGACATTTGTTGTTGGATAGGAAATTCAAGAGACAGATTTTACCTCCTCTATGTAAATTTTGACCCAACTAATCCAAGCCTCTTTCCGCTCTTTTCCAATATCCAACAAAGCAGCTTTGAGTGGAATCAGCAATTCCTCCTCTGGAGTACTGGAATCAGCTTTTATGTTGGAAAGTAATCTAAAGAAATTCGTGTAGTCAACTTTGTCAACTGCCAAATTGTTAAGCAGTTTGCTTATCAGTTGTTTATTATATTTTGGTAACCCGAGTTTCTTTGTCATTACTGATTGGTAGTCATCCATAAATTTCGTTCCATATCTGCACACAAAAAAAAAAAAATGAATGTTTTGGGGAAGGAACAAAAGGGTAAAAGGGTAAAAGGGTAAAACTACCTTTCGAGGGCGTAATCGGATTCTTTTTCGCTAATTAAGTGAGCAGATGAAAGAGTTGAAGCAAACTGAGCAATGTTCCATAATCCAACATCGGGTTGATTTGCAAAACAATAACGTCTTCCTGGAAGATCTGTAGTGTTTGGTGTAAAACTTGGATCAAAAGCATCTAAAAATCCAAAAGGCCCATAATCAATTGTGAGCCCTAATACACTCATGTTATCTGTATTCATCACACCATGAGTGAATCCAACACCCTGCCATTTTGCAATCATGGAAGCAGTTCTTTCAGCTACTTCCACTGCCCATGCTGTAAATTTTTATAAATATGTCAAAATCTATAACAGTATAAAACAATCGTTCAGTTTAAAATTTTATATAGTTTTTTGGGAAAACAACATAAAAATCTTTATGTTTTGGCCACATAATCGATTTAATCTTTATATGTTTTTTTTTTATTCAATTAAGTCTCAAAAACCGGTAATTGTATTTATTTTGACCCTTTTACCTGGTCAACAGGTCGTCCCACTTTCAAAATTTATACTTTTGACCCAGATTTTAAATTTTATTTCAAATTTGGTGTAAAGTTTACACATTTGGCCCAGATTTCAAAATTTTGTTACGAATTCATCATAAATTTAGTTTTTTTTTTTACACTTTTATTTCAGGATTTTGTTACGAATATGATTTTATACAGCAAAATTTTGAAAAAAAAAATGTAAAAAAACTAAATTCATGATGAATTTGTAACAAAATTTGAAATCTGGGCCAAAAGTGTAAATTTTGGACCAAATTTGTTATAAAATTTAAAATCTTGTTCAAAAGTATAAATTTTGAAAGTTGGATGATCTGTTGACCGGGTAAAACAGTCAAAATAAATCTGGGTCAAAAGTGTAAATTTTGGACCAAATTCGTAATAAAATTTAAGATCTGTGTCAAAAGTGTAAATTTTAGACCAAATTTGTAATAAAATTTAAAATCGGGGTGTAAATTTTGAAAATGGGATGCCAACCGGGTAAAAGGGTCAAAATAAATGCAGCTACACCGGTTTTTGGGACTTAATTGAATGAAAAAAAAAACATATAAGGACTAAATCGATTATGAGGTCAAAATATAAGGACTTTTATGGAGTTTTCCCTAGTTTTTTACATTACCTGCGTATTTGTTTGAAGTTAGATCCACTACAGAGTCGTTTTCTTGGCCTGTTGAAAACGATAAACTATCACTTTTGTTCATATTTTCTATATGAGGAAAATGGTGTCTGATTGTGTAATCAGCTAAAGCTTGAACAATTTTAAGGTCTTCTTTTCCTCGTGATGCGTGTAGTTGAAATGAACCAAAACGTAAAAAAGATGGTGAAACTCTGCATACAACTGCACCAGGTTCATCTTTTGGATTTCCACTGTAAATATATTATAGAAAATAAGCTCTCAAATCTCAATATCCATTTGAATGAAAAAGAATTCTAGTTTGATAATAGAAACTTACTCATAGAACATATCACGGGTGACATATTTTCCAGTTGTTACAAGGCTAAGTGCACGAGTAGTTGGGATTCCAAGACTATGAATTGCTTCACTGCAAAGAAATTCTCTAATGCTGCTACGAAGAACAGCTAAACCATCTGCAAACCTGCTATATGGAGTCTTTCCTGCACCTTTCAATTGAAGCTCCCATCTTTCATTCTTTGAATTCACAAGCTCTCCTAGTGTTATGGCTCTACCATCGCCCAATTGTCCAGCCCACATTCCAAATTGATGCCCTCCGTAACATTGAGCGTAAGATAATCTGAAAAGATTATGGAATAGGGATGATGAAATTTCAGGTGAAAGGTCGAGGGGAAGGTGAAGAGTGAAGACAGACTTACCCTCCTGCTAATGGAGATGCCCCGGAGAACAGAAGTGGGAAGTCGGGTCTTTCAAACCTGGAAGATGAAGAGAAGTTCAAGATTGGGAGAATGGAAAATGAGATTTGATGTGTAGGGAGAGGATTCGAGGAACTCACTCTTTAGGATCTAAATCGAGAATTTCCGCCACTGATTCTGACCATGCGACTAGTTGGGGGTTTTCGACTTGAACAGATGGGGATACTTTTGAATAACACGCATGAAGGACCTGGAAATTTAAGAGATTTCGATAGTTGCTTTGTTAGGGTTCTTGGATTTTACGATCTCATTTCCATGGAAGTGAGGTTAATAATATTCACTGTTTACTCTTAGAGAGCTAGAAAACCTAAATGTCAATCGAATCGTTATGCGATAAATGAAAAACCTACGAATTTAAGCATAGAAAATCATCCATTTGGGGGAAAAGGGACGACAGTAAATGAAATGGAAACGATCAATGGACGAATGGATTCACCTCTCGGGGCATGATGTCCGTACGAGGATCGCCGGGGAGCTCACGAACAAACGAGTGGTCCCAATTCAAATCCTCGAGGTTCAACTTCACTCGTTTATCTTCGCTCAAACTCTGTTTCTTCAATCCATCGGCGACCGAATCAACCGACAAACCCACAGGCGACTCCATGGAAGCGTTCGTGGAGAAATACGGCACCTTTTTATGTAATTTCAAGACTTTTGAGGGGGAGTAAAGAAGAGGGGGCGGAGGCGGTGGCGGAAGGCGGTGGAGGAGGTGAAAGAGATGGAGATGGATGAAGAGGAGGTCTGAGAGAGTGAGGCGCACAAATGAGACAACATTGCTGCGGTTTTTGTTTACTTGTGCACCAAAAGGGAAAATAGTATTTGTGACATTTTCAACGTTCATTGCTAGGAAGGTAGTGCATACATGACTTTTGATCAAGATTATTAAGGGCTATGAATTTGACACCACAATATGCAATGGAAATTTGTATTTCTAGAAGCAAAATGTGTACATATTTTATATATTTCTTCAAACACATGAAAACCCATCTATGATTTTGTTCATACCATATCTCATTCTCCCCTAGTCGCTTAGTCATTTGTACGTGTACACAAGAAGTTTGATTTTGACAGAATTTGTTGTTCCATGGTTAGTTATATGGCTAATCATGGAATTGACCAAACTCAATATAATATATTGATATCCTTTGTAATAAAGTTCTAAAGTAGTTCTTTATGAATCATAAAATGGTTTCCATTATCTATGTTATTTCTTTTTCTTTTTTTTTCAAACGGCAAAGATATTAAAAAACTAACAAGAAGCTAGGTTTGTATGCAAAAGATAGTGAGTTGGATCATGAACCAGACAACCAAATTCAAGTTCATACTACAACACCTAAATTAGCTCAAAAAGCAGCGATTGAGTAACAATCTGGTCAAACAACGAACTCTTTTAGGAATTCCTCTACCAAAAATACAGTCATTGTGAAAATCGCTTCTTTTAACCCATTTTGTAAAAATAAAGGTTGTAAAATCGCTAGATTGTATTAAGTTAGTTAATTATCGATTGATTAGTCGACAATCCTAAGTTGTAAATCAGTTATATATATATATATATATATATATATATATATATATATATATATATATATATATATATATATATATATGACTAATACAACACTAATATTTTCTTAAATAGCTTTTATTAAAATAGAACTTCTTTAAGGTGTTAAAAAGTCATTGGCTTGGACAACTTTACTAATGATCTGTACAGGAATTAATTAGTAGACGTTGCGCAGTCGGTTGCGTACAACTTAGTAATTAAATAGAGATTAATCGTGAACTAGTCATGATTTTTACAACCATGGCAAAAACTATGTGAAACTCTCTAGACGAAATCTCTCAAGTAATAACATCTATTCACCTATTTTGGACACTAGACTACATCATATAAAATCAAGTGTTCTTCCTTGTTTTCTTAATTTCTTCTTCTAGTTTTCTTTCGCAGAAGAATGGTGATTTGCAAATCGTATGTTAAATAGTACATTTTAGACTTTTTAAAGTTCGACTTTATGCACGTATATTGTCACAACTAGAAATTTTGTGTCATGTAATCTATACACTCAAGTTAATGTTGAATCAAAAACTTAAGAGCATGTGTGATACCTATTATTATGACATCAAAAACTTCAATCAAATACATCATACAAGTACTACAAATAGTCAACAAACAATTGGAAACCCTAGAAGTTCTTGTTTAGGTCCATTTTGGACTAGGACTTCCTTATTGGGCCCAAATGGACCAGTAAGCTATTAATTTGACTATCATGGATATCCATGCATGCAACTCATACTTCCAAGCATCTATCTTGTCAAAGCCACCCTCTTCTATCCTCTCTCCCCCTCTCGGCCGAATCCCAAACACACACACAAACATTTCACTCATCTTTTCTCTCAAGGAGCTCTCTCCATTTCTCTCCAAATTTTCGAAGATCTAAGAGGAATTTAAGGGAGTTCTTCCACAAAGATCATTATCTAGGTAAGTTAATGCTTGGAACCATACTTTGGACTCCTTCTTATATCTAAAAATCTCTTCTTAACTCTCATGAAATCATAAACTTGTGTCTTAGAACTCCATAAACTCGAGATCTTCATCAAGGGGTGCTAGGGTCAAAAATCACCAAGCTTTCTTCCATCCTTTCTTCAAAAACCGAAACAACACCCTAAGGTGAGCTTCATACTCCCTATTTTTCTGTTTTATAAGTTTTTATGGGGGGGGGGGGGGAATGCAAGTGAAAGTGTAGATCTATATGTGTTTTGTATGCCTTGTATGATTCTATGCTTATATGTGTGTTTTTGTGTGTTTATGATGTTGGATCTAGTCATAAGTCCCTAAAAATCGAGATATACCTTATGTTAAATGATACTAGCACAAAATATATTTCTACATACAAAGTGTTCCAAGAAAAATAGCTAAGTGGCTTAATAACATTTTCTTTGGGCTAAAAACTCAATTTTTGGACATAAAATGCTAAAAATACAAAGTTAAAGGGCCCAAAATGACATATTACGAATTCTGATGGATGAGAAGAGTCAAAACAGTTTCAATAAAGTATTTTCTAGAAATATACCCTTTTGGAAGGTTAAAAATATAAATTTCAAGCTTAATGGGCTAAAAATGACATTTTTGGCCCAATAGGGCCCAAAATGCGAAATTTTCTGTTTTGAAGGACCAAAACAGTATTTTTCTGCAAAACAGTGGACTACTAGTGGCCCAAGTCCTTTTCTAAGGTTTAAAATGCTTTTCAAATTTCAAAAGGACCAAAGTTGCAAAAAATTTCCAATTTGGGCCAAAATTGTAAAAACTGCGAAAAATAGGGGTTATAACCGAGAAATTTGTATTTTCAGGGACTCAAACTGTTTTCAACTAAAAATATGCTGAAAAATATCAATTTCAATAAGTTTTGGTATTAAAATGTCAAGAAAAATGGTTTAAGGACCAAACCGATAATTTTTTTTATAAAGGGTTGAAAAGTAAATTCACAACAAAAAGAGGGGTTGTAACAGAAAAGTTGAAATGTTAATTCAATACATCCGTTGTGATCAAACACTGGCACTACGACTACCAACGTAATACAATACACAACAATACCAAAAATCGTTGTTAAACGAATTGATTCGGTCTCGAATCAATAACAATCCGAAACTACTAACACGGCGATAACTCGACTCATACACGAAAACATTTGGTAATTCAATACACACGCGAGAATGCACAGACGTCGACGCACCATCTTTGGGCCCCAAAAGTGTAAAATCTTGTTTGTTGGGCCTAGCTAGCCCGATGACCTGATCTTTAGGCCCGAAGACTCCAACCTTACGAGTTGTTGGGTCTCACATGATCCAGCACAGCGTAAAAGGACTTTCAATGGCTTTTACTATTGGTCCCTAAGGGTCCTTTGGTACTGCTAGTAAAGTCGGTTATTCACATGCGAGTGGGTCAAGGACCCTTCGTACATTTTTATCCCCAACCGGCTAATGGAGTTACCGAGGTCTTCGTGCCCTCTTTCTCTTCGGATGAGGGACTACAAGAAGTCAGGGCGGTTGGATTACGTGAATAGTACGGACGACACCCACGGGATCGTTTGTGTAATTGTAAACTGATCGTTTGCGTAACGCATGTTTATAATAATTCACAATGCGCAATAATCCGACGACGCCTGGAATCAATGACTTCACATGCCACGATGGTACAACAACTACATGGAATTCAAGTGTTTGTAAAACATCGGGTTTTCCTAGGGTTTTTCAATACATACAGCTTTGAAACGTACACAAGTTCAACGAATACTTTTTACAACTATAGAAACAAACAAGCATACTTATGGATCTTCACAAACTTTTTCAGAAACTCTTTTCAGAAAATATCGGATTTTCTGGTGGTTTTCAAAATGATACAAAATGTTGCTTCTCAAATACCGCTTATGAACTCACCAACATTTCATATGTTGACGTTTTTCAAAATACTTGTATTCTCAGGTAGCAAGTGAACCAAAGGAAATATGTACTCAGTGATGGATTGCAGTTGTTTATCTATGAACCGAACAATTTATTTTTGGGAATGTAATATTAAAACAATGTACTCAGTGTAAACTTTACCGGTTGTACTATATTAATGCATGGTGATGAATGATGTTATGTTTCATATATATTCAATGTTATGGTATTCAATTAAGTCACGACAGCCCTCGGACGTTTCCGCCGTCTGGTTCGGGGGTGTGTGACACTACATCAGCACCGCACCCAACCCTGATATCGATACGTCACATTAGACCACAAAATCTTCCATCCTTTCCGGAAGGGCTAACACCGGGGCGTCGCATAATCTCTGGCAAACTGTCTCGAATGTGGCCTGCTGCTCAGGACCCTAACTAAAAGCCACTCCCCTTCCGAGTCAACTTGGTGAGAGGAACAACAATTTTGGAGAAATCCCTAATAAACCTTCGGTAATAGCCGGCTAACCCTAGAAAACTCCTGATGTTGGTGGGGGATCTCGGCACCTACGATCTCATCACAGCCTCTATCTTGGCCGGGTCGACCAAATATCCCATTCTGGTTGACGAGATGCCCTAAGAACTGGACCTCTCGTAACCAGAAATCGCACATGGAGAATTTGGCATATAGTTTCTCTGATCTCAGAACTTCGAGGATCTCCCTCAAATGCTCCTCATGCTGCTCTCTGGATCTCGAATACATCAATAAACACGATCACTGAGCGATCCAACATTGGCCTATACACCCTGTTTACGAGATCCATGAACGCTACCGGTGCGTTGGTGAGCCCAAAAGGCATTACCACAAACTCGTAATGCCCATAACGAGTCCTGAATGCCGTCTACTACATATCCTCATCATGCACTCTCATCTGATGATATTCAGACCTCAATTCAATCTTGGAGAACCAAGATGCTCCCTGCAACTGATCAAACAGATCATCGATCATTAGTAAGGGGTAACGGTTCTTGACCGTTAACTTGTTCAACTCCCGGTAATCAATGTACATCCGGTGTGAGCCATCCTTTTTCTTGAAAAAAAGGATCGGCGCTCCCCAGGACGAGCTACTCGGCTGAATAAACCCCTTCCCCAGCAACTCCTGAAGCTGCGAGGAATCCTCCTACATCTCTGGCGAAGCAAGGCGATAGGGTGCCTTGGCTATCGGCGCCGCACCCGACATTAGGTCAATCCGAAACTCCACTTGCCTTTTAGGAGGCATACCCGGCAACTCCTCGGGAAAAACATCTGCGAAATCACACACTATTGGCACCTCTAACACAAAACTCGGTCTATCACCACCAACCCGCGTATCCATGACATACGCCAAGAAACCCATACAACCCTGCTGTAAACTTTGCCTCACTCGAGCAGTAGAGCAGAAAGCTGATCCGGTCCTAGTACCCTCTCCGTACACTATGGCACTCACCCACTAGGGTCTCATATAGTCACCAACT